CGTTAGGGATCGTTAACCCCACGAGTGCTGGCGGTGTTCTCTCAGCCCGGAACACACAGTCCCTGGCTGGGACTAACGCGGAGTCATGTGGTTCCCTCCCCCGGGGACAAACCAAGCAATGAGCCACTTGGGGGGGTCAGAGAGTCTCTCCACCCATGAGCAATGCTCCAGTGTGGACAGAAAAGCGAACCCCCAAAACTTCAAAGTGCAGAGCAGCACCCCCAAAACGGACGGGAACCCCTCAGTGTGGGACGACCTAAATGCAAGGATGGACAAGGACGCCCCAACATGGTCAGAAACACCCCCCAAAGGGACAGGAATAGAATTCCCCGAAACATCAAAGTGGCCAGAAGCACCCCAAGATGAGCAGGAACAACCCAAGTGGACACAGAAGGAAATCCCCAAACCTCCAAGTGGACGGGGGGCACCCCAACATGGGTGAGAAGGTTACCCCACGTGGACAGAAACGGGAACTCCAACGTGGACAGGAACATCCCCCCATGTAGACAGGAATAAAACTCCCCAAACTTCAAAGTGGACAGGAGCACCCCAAGATGGAGGGAACCCCCGAATGTGGACAGGAACGGAACATCCCTACTCCAAAATGGAAAGGAACCTGAGATGGATGGGAACCCCCGAATGTGGAATGGAACGGAACATCCCTACTCCAAAATGGACAGGAACACCCCAAGATGGAGGTAACACCTCATGTGGACAGGAACAGAACTCCTCAAACTTCAAGGTGGACAGGAATACCCCAAGATGGAGGGAACACCCCAAGATGAAGGGAACACCCCTATGTGGACAGGACTGGAACTCTTCTACTCCAAAGTGGACAGGAACACCCCCCATGTAGACAGGAATAGAACTCCCCAAACTTCAAAGTGGACAGGAGCAACCCAAGATGGAGGGAACACCCCAAGATGGAGGGAACCCCCGAATGTGGACAGGAACGGAACATCCCTACTCCAAAATGGAAAGGAACCTGAGATGGATGGGAACACCCCATGTGGACAGGAACAGAACTCCTTACTCCAAAGTGGACAGGAACACCCCCATGTAGACAGGAATAGAACTCCCCAAACTTCAAAGTGGACAGGAACAACCCAAGATGGAGGGAACCTCCTGAATGTGGACAGGACCGGAACATCCCTACTCCTAAATGGACAGGAACAACCCAAGATGGATGGGAACACCTCATCTGGATAGGAATGGTATTCCCCATTCCAAAGTGGACAGAAACACCCTGAGATGGGCAGGAACACCCCATGTTGACAACAAAAAAGGCACTTTACAAACTTCAAAGTGGGCAGAAACACCCCAAGATGGGTTAGAACACCTCATTGTGGACAGGAAAAGAACTACCAAAAAGCCAGAATGGACAGGAACACCCCCCATGTAGACAGGAATAGAAGTCCTCAAAACTATAAAGTGGGCAAAAACGCCCTGAGATGGGCAAGCACACTTGAACAGAAGAGGGACTTTCCAAATTTCAAAGTGGACAGGAGCACCCCAAGATGAAGGAAACACCCAAATGTGGACAGGAACACCCCAAGATGAAGGAAACACCCAAATGTGGACAGGAACACCCCAAGATGAAGGGAACGCCCAAATGTGGACAAGAGTGGAGCTCCCCTACTCCTTTATGGACAGGAACAACCCAAGATGGGCAGGAACACCCCCATGTAGACAGGAATAGAAGTCCCCAAACTTCAAAGTGGACAGGAACACCCCAAGGTGGGCGTGAGCACTTCATGTGGACAACCATGGAGTTCCCCTACTTCCAAGTGGACCGGAACAACCCAAGGGGGGCGTGAGCACTTCATGTGGACAACCATGGAGTTCCCCTACTTCCAAGCGGACAAGAACAACCCAAGGGGGGCGTGAGCACTTCATGTGGCCAACCATGGAGTTCCCCTACTTCCAAGTGGACAAGAACACCCCAAGGTGGGCGTGAGCACTTCATGTGGCCAACCATGTAGTTCCCCTTCTTCCAACTGGACAGGAACAACCCAAGGTGGGCGTGAGCACTTCATGTGGCCAACCATGGAGTTCCCCTACTTCCAAGTGGACAAGAACAACCCAAGGGGGCGTGAACACTTCATGTGGCCAACCATGGAGTTCCCCTACTTCCAAGTGGACAAGAACAACCCAAGGGGGCGTGAACACTTCATGTGGCCAACCATGGAGTTCCCCTACTTCCAAGTGGACAAGAACAACCCAAGGGGGCGTGAACACTTCATGTGGCCAACCATGGAGTTCCCCTACTTCCAAGTGGACAAGAACAACCCAAGGGGGCGTGAACACTTCATGTGGCCAACCATGGAGTTCCCCTACTTCCAAGTGGACAAGAACAACCCAAGGGGGCGTGAACACTTCATGTGGCCAACCATGGAGTTCCCCTACTTCCAAGTGGACAAGAACAACCCAAGGGGGCGTGAACACTTCATGTGGCCAACCATGGAGTTCCCCTACTTCCAAGTGGACAAGAACAACCCAAGGGGGCGTGAACACTTCATGTGGCCAACCATGGAGTTCCCCTACTTCCAAGTGGACAAGAACAACCCAAGGGGGCGTGAACACTTCATGTGGCCAACCATGGAGTTCCCCTACTTCCAAGTGGACAAGAACAACCCAAGGGGGCGTGAACACTTCATGTGGACAACCATGGAGTTCCCCTACTTCCAAGTGGACAGGAACAACCCAAGGGGGGCGTGAGCACTTCATGTGGCCAACCATGGAGTTCCCCTACTTCCAAGTGGACAGGAACAACCCAAGGTGGGCGTGAGCACTTCATGTGGCCAACCATGGAGTTTCCCTACTTCCTAGTGGACAGGAACAACCCAAGGGGGGCGTGAGCACTTCATGTGGCCAACCATGGAGTTCCCCTACTTCCAAGCGAACAGGAACAACCCAAGGTGGGTGAGAACAACTCAGGATGGGGGAAAACACACCCACCCCCAATGGAGCCAGGATCTATAGTGGGCGGGTCCCATCCCTCCGATGCTCATCGGCTCCATCTAGTGGCCATATTGTGCTACGCATCTAAGACGTTCGCACGGTGAATCGCTCTGCGAATGTTTGACAAACTCCTCCCCCAATGTCTGAATAAACAGGACATAGAGTGGGGGAGGGTTAGAACTCCCACTTCCTGCTGCCTGGGCCCTCCGGTCCCATTTACATCCCAATTCATTTCTCGTACGGTTGTCACGGGGACAGGAAGTGAAAGAAAATCTCCCCAATGGGGGGTCACAGAAAATAAAAAGCTGATATATATAAAACTGTAACTCTTCCTGGCACACGACATATAATTCCTGAATATACAACGTCAGCCATTGAGGTGCGCTCACCGAACGCCACCGGGCCAGCGCGGTACGGCCAACGGGCTTTACCTGATCCCTTCGGTGCCCCGGCGCGCGGCAGCTGCGGAACGTTTGGAGCCGGACCTGCACCCCGGGGAGTCACCGGCGCTTCCTCCAGACGCTCAGCGCTGGCAAAGGGCGTGAATAAGTCATGAAGGGGGGCTCAGCTTACCTGATATCAATACCTGCGTCTCATCGCTCTCGATGGGAACGCCTATCGCTGTCCGCACGCGTCATCCTCCCTCCGCTTCACATGGGGGCGGGGGGGGATAGAGAGAAGAAAGGAAATCCTTCCGGCTTCTAGAACATTGCGGAGCAATGACAAAGTCAGATGTATGTGTCATTGCCGCATCACCTGACCCCCACCATCAGTTATAAGCTATTGCACAATGTCTGACACGGATCAGCCCCCTGCTGCAGCCTCTCGCCCTGTGACTGGATACAAGGTTACTATGCGCAGCCTGAGGGATCACTGGGGGAGGGGAGACTGAGGAAATCCCGCCTGCAGCAGACTGATGTGTAGCTCGTAGCGGCTATTCTCTGTTAGGAAGGGCATGCTGGGACTTGTAGTCCTTGTGGTTTTAACCCCCTCCCTTCCTGGGACCCGCCCCGCCCGCCAGGTTTAACCCTTCGCGCCCCTCCCTGCTGAAACCTCAAGATGACCGCAGGCAATCTGAGCGCTTAACCCTTCATGACCCGAGACTGTGCAATGTCTCTCCCTATCGGTGTCGTCTGATTGGAGGGCTGGTGACTCCTTATCTCCGGGTTCTCTTTAGTGACAACAAGTAGGGAGCAGCGCCGGGATCGCCCCCGGGGGGGCGGGGTAAGCGCGGCTTTAAGCGACTTGAAGCCGAGCCGTCGGTTGTGTCATTGAATGAACGCCGCGGCTCTTCGCGATGTCACATGAGGAAGGAGGTGGCGCAGCGGGCGAGGCGCTCGTTGTGGTTTCACACTTTGCTCTTTGTTTCCTGCAGAAGCGGCCGGGCAAGGTGGCGGCGTGTCAGCCGGCGCCGGAGGGACTACAGAGCGCCTTGTTCAGTGGAGGAGGAGAGGCGTGCTGTGCCCTGGACCTCCCCCCCCAAACTGCTTCTGACACCTAGCAGTGCCCTGACAGGTCCTCTTTAAAGTGGGGAAATGCTTCCTCCTGCCTGCAGCAGACTGATCACTGGGGGAGGGGAGACTGAGGAAATACTTACTCCTGCCTGCAGCAGAGTGATTACCGGGGGAGGGGAGACTGAGGAAATGCTTCCTCCTGCCTGCAGCAGACTGATGACATCATCTCAGCCTAGGCAAAGTCTCTGGACTGGAGCTCAAGGAACACCCCAGAGCCCTAAATCCTGGGCCCCCAAGCCAGGCCACGCCCTCTGCTCCTTTCTATTGGCCTATAAGATGCTGCACAGCCTGACTGACCAATAGACCTCCCTTGCTTGTCACCTGGTGATGCTGCCTGTAACTCACTTCCTGTCCTAGGATGACAACACTCAGTGTATATTATCTATGGAGAAGCAGCGTTGTCACCCTAGGACAGGAAGCGTGTTAGAACTACAGAACACCCCCCGCTCTTCATCACCTCATGTTCTGTAGTCTGCTGAGACAACTTCTGACTACTACGGACTAAGAGAACATTTAACGCAGTGCCGGCAGCAAGATAGATTCCGATTGGCTGCGGACCTGTAGAATTTTTGTGGGGGTCGGAAGGCCCAGCGCGCAGTCCGGGGTCCCTCTTTGTGTATTGTCCCCACCACCTGGGTTATTGTGTGTGACCATGGGAAGAACCGCGTCCCCCCCACCCCAACCATGGAGCGCGGGGCTTGTGAACGGCGCGGCGCTGACTGTCACATCCTCCCCGCAGCGCGAGAGAAACAGGAAGCGGCCAGGAAACCAAAACCACACCGCTCAGCTTCCTCCCAGGCCCGTCCTTCCCGCCGCCGAGGCCTCCATGAATGGGAGGGATGTGTGCGCCGCACGCGCCATTGTTACAGGCCGCCACAGCCCCAGCTGTTCCATTGTTATCATCGCCCCTTTATGAACCCGCTATGTTTATATCCGCCGCGGACTATCGAACGCTTCCGAGAGGAAAGAAACGGAGTTCGTTGTTTGTAGGCCGAGATGTCGGAGACGAGGAGCCCGGAGATATGGGGGGGAGGGGCTAAAACATGATGGAGGACTGGAGATCAATACATGTCCATGCCGCACTGTGCAAGGTTCTCCACTACCATCAGATATCATACAACACACAGAGAATGATAGATATATAGATAGAGAGAGAGAGAGAGAGAGATAGAGAGAGAGAGACTATATTGCCAAAAGTATCGGGCCCCTCCCCCTCCAAATCATTGGATTTAGGTGTTCCGTGACATTTCCCGGCTACTAAATATTCCGCCGCGGTCGCCTGTTACTGGGATTATAACAAAGTGGAAGCAACTGGGAACAACGGCAACTCAGCCAGGAAGTGGTCGGCCACGTCACATGACAGAGCGGGGTCAGCGCATGCTGAAGCGCCCAGCGCGCAGAAGTCGCCAACTGTCTGCAGAGTCAATAGCTACAGACCTCCAAACTCC